GCCAGGAGCCACCTGAGGCAGAACTGCGCTGGAGGCAGCTGGGCCAGGCCTGTGAGGGCAGCTTTGTGCTTCTCTTCCCCGCTCTGGGCTCTGCTTGACCAGGTTCTCAGGAGAATCAGCCCTAGGGGGGGCCTGGCCCTGTGGCTCTGCAGAGCCCGAAGTCAGATATGCACCGGACTTCAGGAGGTTACAGCTGAGAGAGTATCCTTCCCGCGGTGGATCAGGGCCCAGGCAGCCTTCCAGGTGCTGGAGGGATGGCGGCTCCCAGCGGGAGAGGGCGGGGCAAGATAACCTTCCTCGTGCTGGAGCTCTGGCGGCTGCAGGCAGGAGAGGGAGGATCCAAGTTTGATCCCCAGTATATGGGAGTCCCCTGCTTGGGCGCCAATTGTTGTTTTCCTTTGCGAGCCCACTGGATGGAACAAGGTTCAGGGGCCCAGACTGGGAGGGCAAGGGCAGAATCACCACACAGACTCTGGGGAGGTTTCTGGAACATTTCCTTAACCTGTTATTTTAAACAGCATGTTAACTTGTGAGAACGAGCATGGAGCCATTTTTGTTCTTCTTGCACAAGAAGAAAAACTGTAGAATCTTTCTAAAAAACGTAGAAAACCTTTGTTGGGTGCGAAGCTACAAGCTGAGGACACTGGCTGATTCTGTGAGGAAACTGGGATACCCTTGGGTAGGCAGCGTTAGGCCCTTTGTCAGCACTACAGCCCTGCTCCCAACCTTTCCAGGGATGACCATGTTACCAGGATCCAGGGGAAAATTCTAAGAAAAAAAAAAGCCATAGAATCTATCATTTTAAAATTTCCTGAGTGTTTCTGGCTGAACCCAGCACCTGCAGTGCCCCTGGGGCAGGAGCCCGAGCAGCAGGGTTAGGGCTCTGTGCTCACCTTCCCTGCTCCCCGTCCCCACCTGAGGACAGACTCACCTGCAGCTTCCTCATGGCCACATGGTCACCAGTGCCCCTGGGGGTGAGAGGCCCCTCCTCAGGTGTCCTGGCCAGGGACACCCGGGGGACCAGGTGCAAGCACTGGGCAGAGGAGCCCGCTGTTTCCTGGCAGTGGCAGAGTCTTCATTACATAATGTCATTTGCAGATGTGGCATAAGGGATTGGGGAGAGCACTCTGGATGACGGGTGCAAGGACCAGAAAGCTGCTCCCAGCACAGCAAACAGCAAAATCTATGTGTCAAGATAATAAATACGTTTCTAACACCTATGCTAGATGTTATGGTGTAGATCTGGCATGGCTTCAAATTACTCATATGTTCAGGGGTGGGATTTTTGGAAGGTGACAGGATCAGGACTGCAGGGATGGCTTCAGGTAGGAGATGAGTGGGCCCTGGAGGAGGCAGGCCCCTAAGGGCATGGCCTTGAAGGGGACATTTCCTCTCTGGCTCCTCCTCTATCTCTGCTTCTTGGCCAGCATGAAGTTCACAGGTCTCCTCTTCTGGACCCCTCTGCCATACGCTGTCTGCTTTGGAGCCAGTCAGCTAGACTAGAAACTAAAATCATGAGCCCAAATGCACATCCCTTCCTGGAACCTGTGGGGGTTGGGCACGGTGTTGTAGCCACAAGGAAAGGGACTCAGACAAAGAGGCAAGCTGCATTTGTCTACCTATAAGTGCATTCTAAAGACCAGTCTAGAAAAGGAGACCTCACAAGTCATTGTTGGCCTTAGGGATTGATTCCAGGAGGCAGAACTATGTGCCAAACACATTTTATTTTTTATTATTTCTCTTTTGAGATGGTTTTAATGCTGTTTTTCCTCAGGCTTTCCTGCTGTGCCAGTGTCACCACTATTTGGGATGCCGGGCGTGCACCACAGTGCCATTGGTCTTTCCCTCTCTCCATCGTCCCTTCCTTCCTTTTGTGTAGCCACATGGAAAGCTCCTTTGCTCAGGCATTACCTGATCACTACAGCACTTCATAAGTTGTTGGTGTGTTGCAGCAGAAGGTGCACATAAGAGTCTGCTGGAGAAACTAGGCGGGAAGATGTGGACACGGGATTGTCATTTTCATCGGCATTATTGCTTTTCCTTTGTGCAGTTGAGAGACTTAAAAAAATATCAAGAATGGAAAATACTGGAAAATGAGCTGGATAAACCGGGCTCACCCACTGGGGTCTCCCGCATGACGAGGTGAGTCAAGGCTGGCCTGGCTGCTCAGGATGGGGCTCCAATGGCAGCAGAGGGTCGGGGTTCATGTGAGAACAGTGTCAGTGCAGGGTAACAAATCTGCATTCAAGGGCCAGGTGTCTTAGAGCCCTGTGGTCAGCAGGAGGGAGACAGAGAGAAAGAGAGAGAAGTTTAGGGAGGAGCACTGGGCAGGGTGCAGAGCAATGGAGTGTCCTTCTGAGGTCCTTAAGGGATCCATGTACGTTTGCAAGTATGGGTCACTTTCCTCAATGCATAGCTCTGGCTGGATCTCCCTCTCTCCTCTTTGTCCCATCTGGAGGGGTCTCAAGGTCTGCAGGTCCATTCTGGGGCAGTGGGTGGCATCTACAGAGCCACACTCTTCCCTGGGCAGGAAAGCTGTGGCCTGAAACTCCCACCACCACGTGTCTGGTGCATGAGTGTCCCTGCCACATGAAGATCGGGCAGGAGCTCTGGGTGGGTGCTGGGTGGGAGTACCAGCCAAGGCCTCTCCCACCAGAGTGGGTCTCCTCCTGACTGAAAACAGAACAGAAGACTCCCACGAGAAGGGCAGTGCTCAGGAGCCTGAAGTTCACACCTGATGAAGCCCCCAGCCTGGCCAGGAGATAGCCAAGCCTTCTCAGGCCAGCAGCCTCTGCAGGGCTAAGCTGGAGCCTGAGTTCCATAGGCAGGTCTGTGTGTGACTCACTGAGCAAAAACGAGGTGGCTGTGGTTGGCTGAGAGCTGCTTGGTACTAGAGGCTACTTCCAGGTAGCCAAGGCCAGGGAACCTCTGCGGGCCTGTGGGACATCCGTTCCCCTCAGTGTGATTTCTGAGGACTGAAGCTGTGTCTTGTTGTGGGAGCTCTGCCTCCTTCACAGCGTGATGTGGACCTGGAGCGCTGTGCCATCAGAAATACTGGAGACACCATCCTAGGCCTGGCGTGGCCTCTTGTGGAGCTTGCACACTTCATCTTCACCAACTCACCACTCTGGAAGCTCTGTAAAATGGGAAAATAATCATGATACCCAAGAGCCTCTCTTAAAGGGGGTGCAGGGGTTTGCAGACCACTGCTGTGTGGTGCAGAGGAGTCAGCTCTCAGGGACCCACTGGTGTGTTGTTTCATGGGGTACAGATAGCACATGGCCCCATGAATTCATAGGTCAGACTCCTTGTGTCAGGCACTGCACTGCTGATCTGCTGGAATGATCTACTGGGATCCTAAGCTCAGCACCAGGAGGGAATTAAAAGGAAGATCCTTTATTTCTAATGCAGAAAAGAGAAGATAGTGGCCCTGGTGAGAAGAGCAGAAGTTTCTGTAAATATGGATTTCTCGTGGGTGTTTGGACCTGGCTACCATTTATGGGGTTGTAGGGAAACTTCCTCCCTGGCCCAGTGGGATTGGCTTCCCAGGCTGTGCTTGGATTAAGGCAGGCATCCTGGACTACGTGGGCCACCTTCTGGTGGGCTTTATTGGGCTTCTCCCTGCCTGCTTGTCCTGGTCAGGGCCTTATCTCTGGGAGAAACAGCTGGTGGGTAAGGAGGGGCCCTGTGGAAGTTGAGCTTAGTGTTAGTAAGGGGAGGGATGTGTGTGTGAAGTTAGTCAGCTCCTCCCCACCCCCCTTTTGTCTCCTTTGCCTTTTATTGGAGGTGGGGAGGGAAGGATACTTTGTCTCTGTGCCCCTGGCTTCTCTATGCTCTGCCAGGCAGAGGCTGTGCACTGGGCAGGGCACCCATCCAGATCCCAGGCCCTGGCTGGGCCTGCTGAGCCCCATCCTCAGAGGGTCCCAGGTGCACCGCCCATTGGCCCTACCTGGAAGTGCTGGGCTTCTGGGAAAGAAGGTGTAGTCTCTTCAGTGGGACAAGTGCTCCTCTCTGCGGGATCTTTGGAGAGAGTACCAGGAAGTGATTGCTGTGCCCCTGTCCACTCGTGCCGCTGCCCGGCCCTCCCAAGTCTCTACTTGCCACCCTCCTTGGTGTCTACTCCATTTTCCTGGGTATTTGTGGGACTGATAGAGGAAGTTGGGTGTTGTGGAGCAGGCTGAGGAAAGGCGAGACCTGTAAATTCAGGATGCCAGAGTAGCACCAAATACCTCCCAGGACCCAGGATGGGAAGTTCTTGTGTGCAGCCTGGATATGTGGACCTCATGGAAGAGAGGAGATGCCACAAAAAGCCCACCTTTGTGATTCCTCACTGCGACTCCTGAGTGTGATTTTATTTTTGTTTTTCTCCTTTCCTCTCTTTGTCCCGCCCCAGTTTGCTCTGCAGAGTGAGTGAGTTCTTCCATGAGCCCTTTAGCCCCAACTTCATAAACAGAATTTTGTCACCGTTTTACTATCCAATTCTTCTTTCAAGGCCAAGAGGATCTGGAATACGTTCCCTCGTCAAGCCTTTTCTGAAGGGACTTCCCTGTGGTTAGTTGTCCAGGACATACCATTTTGGCAAGGCCAGCCAGGAGAGTCAAGCTTGCGTCCCAGAGACCAAGGTAAGGCCCATGTTGGGCACCAATTTTGTTCGTTCACAAGGATTTTCGGTTGCTTCTTCTCTCCTTCTTTGGCACACCCTCCCCACTCTACTGACAATCTGACAATCAGGAGACTCTTTTCAAGGTGGCAGGGAGGGGCTTCCATCTCTGGCTGTGGGCATGGGAGAACGGAATGCTTCTATGTTTCTTTTTAGCCATTTGAGTTCACTGTAGCAGTTTGGTTCTTAACTGTGCCTTTCTTTGTTGTACTTTTTGCAAAATGAGCCTACTCAATGCTTCCTTCAGTTTGTAACTGGCTTTTTCTTTGTGTGTGTTTGGTTGAGGTGTTGCTCCGTGACCTTGCCCCATGGACAGCACCCTCTTGTCTTGTCATATGACTGTGCATGACTCTTACGTGGGCTTTCATCACTTAACGCCAGCGCTATTATTCTCTAGTTTCTTTTTTCTTTTTTAAAATAAGTGACTGTACAGGCTAAGCCTCTGATTTTAAAGAGCATGTGGGTCTGGGAGAACAGGAAAAAGGATCCTTTTTCTTCATTCTCACACAAGCAGCACTTCTCTGTAGTATTCCTTTAAAAACAGAACACCTTTGACGGGGGAGGAGCTACAACCTGAGGAGAGTGGCTACTTCACTGGGAAAACACCCTTACCTATGGCTGGGCAGAATCAGGTGCATGAACAACACCAGAGGCCCCCTCCCAACCAGGCCAGATGTTACCATGTTATCATGTTCCAGGGGGAAATTCTAGTGTGAGAGAGAGAGAGAGAAAAAAAAAAAGCCAAAAATCTTCTCCTTCAAAAATTTCCCAAGGCTTTTCTGTTGAAGGCAGCACCAGCCACAAAACTGTCCTTGAGGCAAGAGCCAGAGCAACAGGGTCAGGGCTTTGTGATCACCTGCCCTGCCTACCCTGGCCAGCCTTAGGACAAACTCACCTCCAGCTTCCCCAGGGCCCAGCGGTCACCACTCCTGCGGTTGGTCCTGGGTGAGGGCTGCCAGGTGGAGCAGGCCCTGGCATAGCCTATTCTGTTGCTTAAGGTCCCTGGGCAGTGGAGCCTGTGGTTCCTGGGCAGTTGCAGGATCTTCATTAAATAATATCATCTGCAGATGTGACATAAGATATGGGCATGAAATGCTCCAGTTGAGGGGCATGCAAGGACCAGAAAGGAGCCCCAGTCGATCACTGGCACCTGATATTTCCTGGGGGATGGTATCTGACTGTGGCTTCCCAGGGAAGGAGTGAGGTCAATGGAAATAAGAAGGTGGGGAAACCAAGGCATGGGGAGGTCCAAAGGGACCACAGTGGGAGGCAGAGGACACGTGGGGAATACACAGAGTGGGATGTACCTCACCATGGCCTGCAGCAGCCCATGTCATCGGTGGTGGTGCTGGACCCAGGAGTCTCCAAATTCCTTTTCTCCATGTCCCCCTTCATTTAAAATTGGGAGCAGCCAGGAGAGTCCCCAGAGAGACACACTAGGAAGGCAAAAAACACACAGGTCCCCTCAGCACCCATCTTGCCAGGTCCCTCTGGGCCATCACCCTCTGGGGGAGAATGAGCAACACTCTAGAGGTCTCTTCCCCATCAACTCTCTGTTGCAGAGCGATCCTCAGCCCACCCTGCCCAAGGAAGCTCCACTCACCTTCCCCAGCCAGGGCCAGGACTCTCAGCGTGGCTGCCTGCTCCTCCTGCAGCCTGGAGGCTTCCAGGTCCTCCTGTGGGCAGCATGGAAAGCACGAAGTCAGAGGCAGCAAGGACATCCCACGCAGGGCCCGCCTCAGCAGCTTCATCATCTGTGTCTCCTGCAGCTCCTGGCAGAGACTGTCCAGGGCCTCCTTCTTTGTTTCTGTGTGTCACGGCTGCATCACCAGCTGCCAGTGAACAGAGGTCAACTTGGCAGGGCCTACTTCTCTGTAAATGTGCTAGGGGCAGGTAGACCTCCTGACCTCCTGCTTGGTGAGGAAGCTGAGGCTGACTAGCTGTGGCTACCACAGCTGGTTAGAGGAGCCAGTGCCAGTTCAGGCAGTCTGGCCCAAGGTCACAGAAGTAGACAGTAGTCACTTTGGGCCAGGCATCCGTGCTTCATGCACAGCTCACATCTGGGAGCAGCAGGAAGTGAAGAAGGCAGGGCCCAGGCTGTCACCTGAGCAGTCTGAAGGAGGAAGGATGTGTGCTGGTGCCAGCGTTGGTGCAGGTGGTGAGGCGAGCCTCTCCCAAAGTGTGCAAACCACAGGGAGACTGGAGACCCTGACTCACACCTGCTATGGAAGAAACCAAATGGGCAGCTCTTCTGGGCCACCAGCCTATGGGTTAACTAGATCTGACCTTCCCTTGGTGCCCAGGTGACACGCACTGACCTGGCCTCTGAGCCTCACCTGGGTCTTCATTGCTGTCTTCTCTCTGTGCCCTGCACCACCTGCTCAGACCGGGCTGACCCTGCCCAGCCACAACCCCCATCTTGGCTTCGCTCTGTTGGTCTGTCCTGCTCCTCAGCCCTGACCCTCGGCACCCTTGTCCCCTTCCAGCAGCCCTGCGCCAAGCCCACTTCCTACTGAAAGCTGTTACAGAAAACATGGAGCAAACACACTAGAAGGGCAGGGTAAGGAAGTCTGTGCGGGACCACCGGGATAGGCACAGGGAGCACCTCAATGAGATGTGGGGGAGACTGGACTCAGCCCGGCAGTTCGGGCCTCAGAGGATCAACAGTGAAGAGTAGGGTGGGCTTGGGGGAGGAGGAGGACTCAGTGACCCAGGGCAACGTGGTGGGGAGGCAGTGGTCCTGATAAACCAGCTGGCAGGACTCTCGCTGAAAGCAGGCCAGGGTGTTCCACAGGTGATCTGATTTCAGGGTAGGGCTTCTGTAAGAGCTCTGGAACTCTTGATCTTACAAGGCTGGGCACCTGGCCTTGGTTCACAGCCGGACCACAGTCCCGTTAACCAGGAAGCATTTGTCTTCAGCTCCAATTCTCCCTTCCTTTCTTACCATCTTCCTTTTTTTCC